CACCCTGTTTCTCTGTTTCAAACCCGATATATAATTTATCTTGCCATACTGCATGTATGTGTTTGTATTTTGGGTCTATTTTATTGTTTCATTGTAGATATATTTCTTCATTTTTGTCTTTGATTTCAGATCGAAATTAATTCTTTATGTTATGACCGAGTTCTTTATACTCAATCAAACGTTTCTCAAGAAATACAAGATCATTGCTCTGGAAGGGATATGTATGTTCTCGTCCCTAGAACATGCAGTGGAGAAGAAACCAATGGTGTTGAACCTGAAACCGAAGGTACCAATTGTTTTCAAAAACAGTTTGAAGTTTACTGGTCGGAGCTTGAAATTTTATACTGAAACTCAAATGTAATGCTTTTTATGTAGCCAACTCTTATAATATTTGTATGGGCGTCCGTGGACGAGTGTTTACATTCGTTGACTTCAAACCGCTCTGGGTTCGAGTCGCGCAAGCATCTTCGTATTCTTTATTGAGGGGATGATATCCAGCTAGCTTACAGAATGTCGGTGTTTCTACTCAGGAGCCCGTTTGAGTCTGAGGTATTCTTCCACCATTAAAGCTGAAGAGTCCCCATAGGACACATACTGTGTTGGTGCAGCCCAATCAAAAAATAAAAATGATAATCGTATAAATTGCACGTTATATCTTAACATTAAAATTTAACATATTCATGTAATGTAAAGGGCTAAGCTATAAAGGAAAAGTTTATATAAGCTATAAATTTCCTAAACTATGATAATTACTAAGTTGAAAAGAGCTATCGACTAAAACAATCACATGGATCTTTAATATAATGAAAGGCGTTAATACTACGAGTATTACTATATCTAAGTTACATGCCCTGTGTTGAAAGTTTTTGTCACATATGACTTGAATGTTTGCATCAATACAGTAGAGGTATATAGATGTCAATGCACATTTTTTTTCTTTAGTTAGCTTATGTGTTCATTTTTGTTGTTGATTAAACCTGATCACCTGAACAGTGACTAAACAGTGTTCAAAAGCTTAATTGAATTTACATCGGTGCACATTACGCCGTTAACGTTTCTTGATCCTCAGTACTTTTAAATACATAATTGTATACATTTATTTGTAATCATAGATAATTTTTTATTTTTATATTCAGATGGAGGTATAGTTAAGAGAGGTTTAGGAAGATGGTCGTGCCGCTGGGGATATTACTACACATTAAGATATTGTAAGGTCAGATACTGTTGTTGGTGGTGTAGGCGATCATGTTACAAATACACTCTATGTTGGGTCAAGGTGATCTTTTACAAATGCGGATATAACTACTACGGATAAATACAATTAAGACTTGACACAAAAACCGATTTTTTGAAACATATACATAGTGTGTTTAATATCCTGCTTAAGCTACTTATATTGAAAATAACAATGTATGTTCCATTACATATCATTCATGATTCAAGATACCTTGATATGTCAAAACTGATGATTTGTTAGCAAGAAAATATTATTTATGACATTTTATTTTGAGAATGGAGATAAAGACATATCAAATGCTTTGTCTGTTTCTTCTTTTTTCTTCTTCAATATTTCAATGTCAAGCTTGATGATAAATTCAAGTTATAGTATTGTAGGATTTGAATTGTTTATTACTGGTCCTAATTAGCATAACCTCTTTCAGTTACTTTTCTTTCGGCATATGCTTATTTCATATGTAAAGAATATTATTTTACTATAATTTTTAGTCGAAAAATAAATTAGAAATAGTTGTTACCATAGGCGGCTGTTTTTGCTCTATTTTTCTTCTTTTCAATCAATATATCTGATAAATTATCTAAACTTTTTTGCAATTGTCCGAAATACATGATTCTATGCACATGTGTGGTATATCAAATAGTAGCATTTGGTTAAAGGTATCCTTATCAACATTTGGAATTGGGCCCATAATAGTACCGTTTTTCTAATTTTAGTATTTTAGATTGTTTTATCAAACTAACTGTTCAATTGTTCTTATGCTTTCGCTTAACCTTAATTATCATCCTCAAAATTTTATAACTTTGCTGTGTATGTGTGCCGCATGAAATCTAAAATTAAATTAATTCTTTCAGCGTTGTTCTGTTTTGTTTTCCTTTTCATCCTCATAGAAAACGTTTCATTGCCAGTACTTCCAAATTACGCTTAACTGATATTCTAAGAACAGCGAAAATATATATTATACATGTAAAAGTTAGACTTTGTGGAGAGGGCTGTTGCTAATGTTGTAATTACTTGTAGCCCAGCCCATTTGCACTGTACCTATATTATTTGTTTTTTATGTTATTCATTTCTTACATGTATTATATAGTTGAAATAAAATATTATTAACAAAGCAACGTGGCCCCGACTTCTTTGGATCTAAATGTAACTTAGTTAATGTAATTATTCTTTTATGTCTTTTTTTAAATAAAAGAACACTGTTACATTTATTTTATGTTTAAATGCACATATTCAACGCCAGTGAATACATGATGGTTCATGTGTTGTTATCAATTGAAATACTATGAAATACAATGTCTCCAGATCTAAATAAAAACTTTGGTTGCTTTTTAGTATGTTTCAAATGTCCAAATGTCCATGCGTATATTATCGATTATCTATGCATAAAACATGGTAATATCTACACTTTGTATAACACTGACTGATTCGCATAAGCTAAAATTATGCATATTCGTTTATGCTTGGATATATTAATATGTCTATCTTGAAAAAAAATTGGACTGTCTTGTTTCTATTTTTTGTATTTAAATATGCTTATGCTCTAAGTTCATTGTACATTTCGCTAGTTCTTCCCTTTTCAGTGTTGAAAAGTTTTATAAAAGTACACTGAAGATCTCATATCACTATTTGTCTTTAGGACACTAGGGAGGGACAAGAGTAAATAAACATATATTACATATTTGACGGCGTATCATTTTCTTTGTTAAACGTAAGTTGCCTATTACGAATATTGGACTACTTTAACGACCATTTGTTAACTCAAGCCCTTCGTGCACATCTTTGTATATTTAGTTTCTAATAAGTATAGAAGAACTGAAACAATATATAAGTTTTTATCAGATAATTTATTATACTCTAGAATTACATGTTTTACACAGTGAATTCAGTGATGGAATGGAAGTATACATTGCCGCTTTCCTAAACATAAATATCCAATGCTCATACGATTTGTGTGTTAGAAAATATTTAAGACACAGTGTTAAATCTATAGGATTGACTTTATTAAAAACAAATACATGGAATGGTATTTTCATGTCATTTATAATCAAATATTTTCCATGTTTATGAAACCTTTAAACATTTTCTCATCAAATCATCTCATTAAATCGTGATTCTTATATTTCTTATGTGATTTAAATAAAAAAGAATGCGATAAACGTGATCTAATCAATCCATAGGTGAATCATGTTTGACCTCTGCAATCCTTGGCATTGTGTAAGGTATGAAAATAACAAATCCAGCTACTAGACCGCCCATTGCTAAAAATGGCCAGCTGAAAAAGAAAATAACAAAACCTCTTTGTATAACATATCGAAGAACTATTTGAAACAATTTTTAAGAATACAAATGTACATTTAAAAGTGCATAATAAATTGCTCAGGATGTTCGTGTCCAATCGTGCAACAATGATTCTATTTTTGTTGAAAAATCGACAGGTAAACTGGCAAAACAATCTTGCCCATTAAACATTGGCTATTATTACAAGTTAATTTGTTAAAATTACTTTAAACGTTTTTTTTCTAACAAAAATCAACAATTTGTTTAACTTCCACGGATAACGGTATTTTAATACTTCTTCTAATGCCTATGTAAAAACCGGTTTGATTGCATGGCTAAACCTATCTTTTTCTCGGGAAATCCGAAGTTTAAAGAAGACGAATCATATACGGTCATCATCAGATTTACATAAAAGAAATAAGTAGGTCTGAACTTTAATCAGATTGGTCCGTGAGTCTACTTGTAATTTATATCGCTATAAACGTAGACAACTTTCCCACAAGTTAACGTTACTGAGGTAACGATACTTTAAATCTGAAGAATATTTAAGGTACATGCTCTGTCAGAAAAAGGTGAGATGGTTTTATAAAATCGAACTCATTTATATATTATATACATGGATAACCATATTCCATGGACTACTGGTTCGATCCTCGGACTAAGCGTTATTCTTAGTGACAATTGATCTCGGACATGGAGTGTTATGGTCCTTTGTCTCTCACCGCTTATTCTAAAATTATGTTGGGTTTGTAGTTGGTCACTTGCGGAGACATGGTCACTTTCGCAGGCACTAATAATTACATGTTTGTTAATCAGAAAAGTAATGAGGTGTATCGACCGTCGAGACATGACTAAATTCGTGTGTTAAAATTTTTGTAAAAACATAAAAAAGCAAACAAACTATAGCATGAACGCCTCCTGCCCATACGTCATCTGGGAATGGTACACACTTTGTCTTCTATCGTTACAACAGTATCGTGTACCATCAGAGTCGTTAATACAACAGTATACGTCAGACTTGCCGACAAGACGGAGTGCTTCCGGGCAGTTGAACCCAGCCCTTGTAACATTAGAGCTATCTCTGTAGGTCGGGCAGTATTCACACAACACTGAAGAGATATAGCAATAAATTTAAAATGTGATATCGTTATAACATGTTAAATTTTACCATGATTTAAAATTAAATCAATTCGTGAAAAATGACTAAATTAAAATAAATATAAAATGTGGAGCAATGATATATGATTGCGTAAAAGAATACCGTATATATACCTATACAAGAATAAATGAGATAATATGAACAACTTGCAAAATAATATTATGTAGATTTGAACAATTTAATTAGAGGGACTTAACCGAGATTATTTGACAGGACAGGTAATAATTGTCGAGATTGAATGTTCCATTTGATGTAATTAAATACCAACAACTTTAGTGCAAAATTTCAGCTTACAAAGTTGCAACACTTTTCACTCTAATCGGACTAAGGAGAGCATAAAAATACGATTTTCAAGTTATTTCTGAGTATGTTTCTTACTTATCTGTTACATAAGAAGCTTGGCATAGACTTGTATAGCAAGCAATGATTGTTGAATATTTTACAGTGCTGGTCTTTTATTTATTCGAATGTTAAATGTTAATATAAGATAAAACATGATTTCGTTTTGCATTTAAACTTTGTATTAAAATAAAAGAAATAGTATCACCAACTTAAACAATGAATAAGAAATAAAGAATACTGTAATATTAATTCATAATCGTACAAACCGGAGTAACACAGAAATTGTCCGAGCATCAGCTTCATTAATATATCCATTTTCTTTCGTCCTCTAATTAAACGTAGATTCCCTTTTCAACATTTCGCTTTTTGTGATTAAAAGAATTGGTCTGAATACAAATAAATATTTCATAAAGTTCTTGTAAATAATTCATTACTTTTGAATTCTGTTTTATTGTTTGTCACAATTAACTATCATCGATTTCTAGATCATTTTACCTTTTAAATCGCTTAGCTCTTTTATTGTATGAATCTGAAAAAACAGATAATTAATAATCGTGAACGAAAAATTATGTTTATAAAGGCTATACAAAAAGAAATCTTTTCTGAATCAATTTTAAAGGCGTGTGTTTAAAGGCCAATTAAGCCTTAAATTGATATTACTTTTATTTCTCGCAATAATACTGTTGTTAGTGTTCTGTTATAATTTCCAAACAGTTACCCATTAGCCATGTGATTGAGCCATCGTTCTTCTGCATTTTCGAATGAAGAAAAGTTATATTAATTATTTTGTATGTAAGTCAATATACTACTTTCCTTCTTTTATGGCGATTGATTTCAAATGCAGTGCTATCTACAGAAAACTGTTGTTTTTTTGTTTTTAATATCTTAAAGTACCTTTATCTTTGACAAGACATTACGTATGACATTGGAAATCTGTTTAGGCAAGAACATTTGTTAGTTTCTATGTCCTGCTGAAGGGTAAGTTCGCATTGTGCCTCAAAATGCTTTTAACGCTTTTTTTACTTCTCGTATCCTGTTATATTTTATTTACAAAAGTTACAAATTGGTCAATTACCAAAACCATCTTTAGCATTTGCTGCTTTTCAGCAATTAAGTAAGTTATATTGAATTTGTTTTTGTTGTTTTAGTATGGAAGTTAAAATACGTCTTTGTTTTACATTTCGGTAACTTTCGTGAAAAATACTTTTATATTCAGCACTTCTTTCTTTATTTGATAAACATGTTACAAGCTCTTAAACCATTATTGAAACATTTCAAAACGCATGTCTGCCATTTCTTAAAGAAAAACTCAGTTTCGGAGGCATTATGTGCCTTTAAATTTGAGCAATATCCTGCTTAATGTTCTGTTACAATGTACTGCTCAATGCCCTGTCAAAAGTAAAGTTTCAATATTCTAGTGAATGCCCTGTCAAAGGTAAAGTTTTAATGTACTGCCCAATGCCCTGTTAATGTTCTGCTTAATATACATTCACTCTTAAGGTCAAGTGTCAGTGTCATTCAATGTACTAGTCAATAATATACATGTAATTCTTTTTAGAATGCATGTTATTATTATGATTATTAAATATAAAGCAGCACCTTAATTAATATAAGTATTAAACAAATAATTGTTACAAACTGAACTGAACAGAAAAACAAACTCAAATTTATTGAATTCTGTTTTATTAACTTTCATATAAATTTTGCAAGTTAAGTTCGTGTAACCACGTGACTCAAGTGATGAAAATCGTTATTTTTTTTACATGTTTTGATGAGCCCTTTTGGCAAAAGCATTCATAACATATATAATAACTGATGGCATTTTCTTCCGATACATCAAAGTACTATTGAATTTTAGTCAATACTCATTTAACCTTAAAAATCTTTGTTTCATTACAAAAGACAATGAAAGAGCTGACACGGCTTACGAAAAGGTTAGAAAAAGAAACTTTTAACTTAAAAAATGTACCTGGTAACCAAAGACATGAAATACAAATATAGCTTTGACTGATCATTGAGCGTAACATTATCTGGGGACATCGGATGTTCTTTTATCAGTTTAAACTATATAAGTCTAAACTTATTTATTAATGACATCTTTTACTTATCAAATGGATATAGCTAAAACTGCAAAAAATGCAAAAAATAAAAATAAATTTATGGTGGCATATTTCCGCCATCTTATAACCATTTAACTAACTAATTAATTAAGAGGTTAACTAGTTACGTAACTAGTTATTTTTTCAATAAATAAAAGATCGGAACGGGAAATTAAATGCATGTTAGTGCCTAAAACTGCCATCCTTTTATTATTTTACCAGCTTAAAATTATTAATCTCTTAATCAACAAGTCAGTTAAGAGAATAACTAGTTACGTAACTAGTTAAACACTTAACTAAGTAGTTAATAAGGAGATTAACCAGTTACGTAACTAGTTAACCTCCCAATTAACTGGTTACTTATATGGTTATCTGATGGCAGAAATATGCCACCATATAAATAGATTAAAATTATAATAATATACGACCTATTAAGAAAAAGACGATATGTTTAAGATTAGGACAGAGGTTTTATTGATATGAATATTACGAAGGATTAGAAATAAGTTATTACCCTTTACCACATATATACGCGAAACAACGCACTTTTGACCCCCCCCCCCTTTTTTTTGAGGCCTCAAATAGTGAAAAAAATGTCCTATTTGGGCCCCAAACCTAAGTTTTCGTTTGAGAAATGTTGCTAAAATAATTGAGCACTTTTTCGGCGCCGCCCCCATCCAAAAGATACATCAGGGGGTTGCCAGAAGGGGGATGTGCCCCCTTCTGTTAGGGGGGTTTGAAGGTGGGCGAAGTCCCCCTCATCGCCAAGAAAATTTTGGACTTGTGGGAGGCTAAAAATGACCCCAGGTCGATCATAATGTAACGTTTATCCAACGCTGAAAAGCCTTTGACTCTATCTCAATCCCTTGAGAACTTGCAGCACTTTGAAATAAATTTTGATGGAAAAAATCGAGGCAAAATAGTGATTTTTGGCAATTTTGAGATGTCCCCTCGTTGCCATGGTAACAGGAAATTTAAGACTGAGCATGTCGTTACAAAGGCAATGGTCCAGTCAACATTTGTGCCAAGTTTGATTAGTATTGAAGCATTTTTCATAGTTTCGTAGCAGTTTGAACTTGTAACACGAGGCTTTCCAGTGAAAACGGCCATTTTTCAAAATATGCCCATGGGGGAAAGGGTTAAACTGTTATGATAGGCGCTTGGCTTGGACTGAGCTTAAGCATAATACATGTACGATAGGCCCTTGATTGTGACTCAGTTATTGAGTTAATACAATAAGCCATAAATTGGAAGTGCGTTATCCTAGATTTAGAATGAGTTGTCAAGAATGAGACTTTTTTTATTAATAATAAAACGATATGCTCTTGAACAACATTCATTTATGTTAAGTGTAATCTTGTTGGCTAATTATGTTGTGCATACGGCTTAGTTATTTGTCCATTTATTTTGAACCGGACACGACTGTAACAAAATTTCAGACTATACGAAAAATACACTTAGCTCAATTTCATGTTATGACCTTGACCTCTTAAACTTGACCCCGGGTTTTTGCGTGCGAAACATCATCTTCTAATGTTGGTCATGCGTACTACTTTATTATGAAGTCCAATCCAATCATGCATTCAGATTTAATGGCGCGGACACGTAGTACATCTATATATTTTTGAGAACACAAACACTTATATGCGCACATACGCACGCACGAACACACACGCGCACGTACACGTTATACTATAACAACAACAAAATATATAAATTTATAATATTAAAGCCTAAATCTGAACCATAGGTTACATAAACAACTTGTCATTCGCTCGCTTCTGGATATTCTCAAAACTGATAATTGAGCCGCGCCATGACAAATCCAACGTAATGGGTTTGCGACCAGCATAGATCCAGACCAGCCTGCGCATCCGAGCAGTCTGATCAGGATCCATGCTGTTGGCTTACAAACCCTATAACAAGTAGAGAAACTGATTGCGAACAGCATGGATCCTGATCAGACTGCGCGTAAGCGCAGGCTGGGTTGGATCCATGTTGGTCGCAAACCCATTACATTTGTTTGTCATGGCGCGGCTCATATGATATTTACTTTCAAAAACGTTGTAAGTGTTAGGTGTTTTAATTTAATATAATTTGATTTCAAATCTCTGAAGGAAACGTTGGGAATTATATATTATATATAGAAATATATATTACTTTGATAGCCATACATTTGTTTTGACAACACATTATGTATATAGTAATGCTACACATTGTTTTTTTCTTTTGAATTTGACTTTCATAATCATTTTCGGCCAACTGAAAGTGCTTTAAAAGACACAAAGTACTATAAATTGTAAAGAAACATTTGAACTGGGATCATTTTTCTAGATAAAAGAATTATATTTTAAATTTGCATTGTAAGGGAAATAACCATACCTGTGTTTTTCAATATGATACTTATGTAGTTGCCTCCAATAAATTACTCTCAACAATTGGTTATTGATAATTTATTTTTGTAATAATGTGTCTTTTTGTACATATTACAGTAGTTCGTTCAGATAATGGTAGGGATATATTATGGAGTATGATGATACCTAATTTGACTTTATTGGATTCTTCTTAGGTGGTATATTTGATAAAAGTCTTAGAAATTTATAAACAGACTTGTTACACTTTTAACCTAAATAATTTTAGTAAAAAAGAGAAACAAACGCATAAAATGAAGTCACTTTTTCAGAAAAGAGAGGATACCTCAAACATACAGAAATTGCTCTCAGAATAAGGTTTAAATTATCAAAAGTTCAACAGGCATATGCATCTAACCTTGGTCTGCACTGTTAGCTAATCAACCAAAACTTATTTTGGAATTTTCCCTAACATGATAAATGGTTTGCCTAGAGTAAAATATGGACAAGTCTATTTAAGATTTTTAGAATCATGGTAAAGGTTTATTGAAAGATAACGAGATCTGCGTCTATCACGTGACCCATTTTGGTGGTCACAGAAAATAGTTTTCTGTGTCACAGAAAAACGAGATATAGGAGATAAAAAAAGACAGGAAGCCTATTATCAGTGACACTCTTTAAAATAATAATAACAAAGATAGGTATGGCAGTCGTTTGTCTTGTATTAGTTTTAATCTGCACATACGTGTGCCAAAATTCAGCTTTAAGATTGGAACCAAAAGGTAAGAAGCTTTTTGAACCGTATTATTTGACTTGTATCGTTGTTTTAAATTTGATGATTTATATTGTATCTATAAACTATTATGTAGTACCATAGGTACACCGTGAGTCCTAGAAACAAATGTCAAATATATTGACAGTTTTGACATAAAGCCCTATTCATAAACTGAAATTTAGTACATAACATTCATGTATATTATCTTTCATTACTACATTAGATGACTATGAGCTAAGGTGAATCATGTATGTTTATA